AATAAAAAAAAGATATAATGATATAAACATTTACTGCAATACAATACTGCAAGGTTTTGGCTGAGAATCCTTCTTCAGGTGTGAGGGTCTTCAGCTCAAAATGAAATGCTTGGAATTTGTAATGTAGGGCGCTCTGATATCATTATCATCCCCCCCTGCCTGTCTGACTTTCTTTTTAACCATTCTGTGCCCGAATTGTTTATCATGCACAAAAAGTGGCCATTAACTATCAAAACCTGTTTTTATCACTTTTAAAGTCATGCAATTTCTAAGTTAAACAGGAACACATCTTTACATCTCTTTTTTTTAATTAAAAAATTTGATTTCCTACCTTAAGGGGTGTTTATATTATTGTGTCATTATCATTCAGGATGGAATGAAAAACAACTCGTTGAAAAATTTTCTGTACAGCTGGTACAGCACCCCACCACGCCCAAGCGCCAGCATTATATTATCATGTATGGGTAGAATATGTTAATTGTCTTCCAATGAAAGACGGGTTCCTTTCGCCCAAGTCAGGAGACATTAGAAGCTTGCCCCACCCGGACTGTTACAGTACCACATTAGCAAGTTAAAGCAATTCCATTGAGAAGCTTGGCGTGATAATTGTTTTCTTCCTTGATTTTCTGATCTGCAAGGCCGTTTGGGCACAGTGAATGTGAATTCTGTCTGGCATTGCCAGATTGTGAAAAATAAAAGTATTTTATGAAACACATGTTAGCGATTTTAATCAAGATGGGGGTAAAGGAGTCTTCTCTATGACACCCTCTCTTATAAAATTAATGTGAAACAAAACAAAAACTAAAAATAAGATACAATCTACAGACATTCACAACATAGTCATATCATAAAACATTTACAAATATTGTTAAATTATTACTTTAAATATATACTTTAAGTTAATGTAAATATATTACTTTATTTTATATAGCACCTTTAAAAGTGGCATCTAAAAGCAATACAGGATTCTGGCTATCAAATTCTGAATGTATTGGAGATTGCTCGATGTGGATTTAAATAACCCAGTGAACAGGATGTGCATTCATTAATTCTATTGAAAAAAAGCCTTTCTTGATTTCTCTAGTTCCTAGTTTCTCTATGTTCCTTTTAAAATAAACTTCTATATCACATGACCGGTAGGGAAACTAAAGGGAAACAAAAAAGTGGAAAAGCTACGGTCTGTCTCGTCGGAAGCTAGCAACGGTCTGCTGTCCACTGTTCTTTAGACTTCTTCTTTAAGATTAAATTCTTATATTCTTCTTAATAGTTGTATCAGGCAGATTACACTTTCCCCCCGCTCTCAATAACAGACCGATCTATTTTTTAAATCACTGTGTTCGTTTACCGATTTCATCTTCACACCTCTTCCCACTGATCACTCAGGATACTCTTCTCACCTGCCCTGCCCTTTGTTCTCCTGTGATTTGCTGTTTATTCCTGCTACAATCCACTCCTGCCCTCACACCTAAATAAGACTATTTTACGTTTCTTTATGCGGTTCATAGTGCAATTAACCTTTGCTAGTATCTTTGCAGCCAATGCACACTGGCAGTTCTACCACTTGAATATTATTTTGCTTATTATTCACAATTGTATTCTATAAAAATGCAAGTGAACAACATAATTGACATACTCAACAAATAAAACAATATAGAAATCAGTACAATACTAGATAATTACTGATCAGATAATACAAGATCAGTCATTTGAGAACTGATCAACTTTGTATTACAAGCTAAGATAACAAACACATATATAGTGATACAGTATGTATTGATGATTCTCTGCATTTGTATAGAACTTTTTATTACAGAGGTGTGATGTTTACATTGACCTCACTGTAAGCAAAACAAAACAAATGATTTCTGGAGTGGGGGGGGGTATTCTGGCAACAAGTGATTATAAGACGATCTGACAAAGTGCAATGAAATACAATATTGTTGTTGTTATTGTTGTTGTTATCCTGTAAAGCGCTTTGACAAGCCACCTTTAAAGGCGCTATATAAAATAAAGTTTATTATTATTACTATTATTAATATGCTGGACAGCGAGGTGAACATTATTATGCAGAAGACAAAGATAATGATTTACATTGCAGATTGTGAATCAATAAAGACATTTAATTAAACACGCGTTTGCGATTTAAATGGAAATGGGGGTGACTGGGACTCTTATTATTCTCTTATTATCAACACTCGTTCAATTGTGGTTCTTTTGGTTTCACAGATAGTTGGACATTCAGGTTGATTGCCAGGCGAAAGGATTAGTAAATATATTTTGTTAAAGCAAGTCAATTTTTTGTGACACATAAAAGACATATTGTGGCATAATTACAGTATATAGGGCGGACACAGCGACTCAGACACCCATTGAATGAAAAAGGGCACTTTAATTTTCTGTACAGCTGGTACAGCACCCAAACAAACGCAAACACGTTTTTAATAAAATGTTTTTATTCATTCATAATCTGACTTGCATAACTCACAATTTCGAATGCCCCTCACCCCCCTCAACAATCCTAGGAAGAACACGAAACAGCCTTACAAACTCCAAACGTTTCATTTTGAGCTGAAGACCCTCACACCTGAAGAAGAATTCACAGCCGAAACATTGCAGTATTGTATTGCAGTAAATGTTTATATCATTATATCTACTTTTTTATTTCTTTTTTAAAAATTAAAAAAAATCATTTGCCTAGCCTAAGAGGGGGGTCTGCTCTCATTGACAGCTGACACTCCTCCATACACTCAAGTGAAAAATTAATAACTCCAATGTAAACGTCATATTTACAATTTGTTGATAATAAAAATGTTAAGTTCTCTAAAGCTTTCTCAGTCAAGTATGATAATTTACCTAGGGAGCTGTGTAAGCATGCGTAAGCAGCAAAAGATCAGCTAAACTGGAAAGATGCAACACTGAAGATATTAATAATAATCTTTTAAATCTGAAGGGAGATCAAAACACGATCCACATGATACAGGTTCCTGCTACTCAGAGGGAAAGACGGTGACTATTCGTAGTTATTAAAAAATGACTTAGATTCGAAAGTGTTGTGATATTGTCACGCCCTCTGCAGCCAGAGGGCGCTCCTTCTCTGTCCTGTCCCTAGTTTCCGGTCTGCTGTCCTTCCTGTCCCT